GCTAGAACTGTACAGTACTAGACGAAAATGTTTAGCAATTTCTTAAAACAAAAATGTATATAAATTAACAATAGAAAACAAAGCAAAAGTTTTATAGGTGTGTAGAACGTTAAGTTAATTCACTTGTTATTATTTTTGGCTAAATATGCTTTTAAATAAAGCATATTCTTAAATTTTAACTAGGCAGTTGTAATAATTTTGCAAATGGTACTGTACACTTTTGTCTAGTCGAGAAATGAGCTTCGCAGACAAATATGATTGAATTGGAATTATGCTACGGCGCATCCTAATAAAGGGAAGGGGCATATCTCTAACTTCTTGAAACGAACAGTATAAATTTTGCATTTCTTTCAATATTTTTCATAATATCATAATTTTACGCAAAAATAGACAAAATACTTTTCAAAAGTGCAAAAATTTTTCCGAGATGATTAAAAAAAGAAACGCAATGTGAATAATTTATAAGATTCTGATCATGAAACTAGCGAATAGATTTTTTTTGGTCGGTAAGAGAAAGGGCTAAGACGATACAATGTCCACTTCGCAGATATCGATCCTCGTTAATTATATATGCAAACATTGGTCCGTTCCACTTTCGCTATATACACCCCGTCATCAAGAGATTACTATCCCTTAATAATACATATATTATTACGCCAGTTCGTAATGCCGTTTATAATATCGAACGCATTTATAATTACTCGACTGCAACAGTTCCATGGTGCGTAAAATGGTGCATGACTTATCTGAAGTAGTTATTTAACTTCACGTGGCCCATACTGACCGCAATCACGACAACTGGCTCAGGGGTGGCAATATAATAGCAAACCCCTGTTTGATTCTCGAAAAAGATTAATTCATTCGCTTTGACTGAATTACATTGGCCTCAAATAACACTTTTGCGTCTAAATGGAACTGCTCGTGGTCTAACTATGTATTATTTTTAAACTAAATCATGGGGTTGTTTGGGCGAAAACATTTGATTTTGTATCTTACCAAGTATTTAGGATATCTCCTGTGAAATCAGTAACTTACCCTCGAAACGAGAGCTTTCACGATTTTGAAACAGAAAACCCCTACAGTAATGTACTACTTTTGCTTTATTTGCTTTATTTATTCAAACAAAAAAAGTAAGCAAAGCAAAAAAGTAAAAGTATTAAATTAAAATACTACTTTTCATTGAATTAATGTGTTCTTCTAAATAAAAAATATCACCAATAAATTTATAAATTAAATGTTTTTTTCTTACTAAAAGTTTTATTTTGCTGCATCGCATTTTGTTCTCTTTTAATATGATTGAAGTTTGTTAAATATTACTATTCGCAAATAGTTAGATACTAAGGTTGCCCAAGCCCAACAAATCGTTAGATGACCCGTATGAACCATTTTCAAAATTCTCGCCAATTTGGAAGAGAAGCGTACGCGTAAGCCATAAACTGTAAAGTGGTAGGTAGGTAGATGTAGGTATTAGATGCTTATTAGAGTCGTTTGAGAGCAAATTCCAGGACTTTGAAAGTACAAAATAAAATTTTGAAAATGTTTGTTAATCTTTTTATGATCTGCTCAACTGAAATAAGCAGTTACTCAGTTGGAATTGTAAAATCATTCTGTTCTAAAAAACTTTTTTGCGGAAAAAATATCTTCAAAGTCACAAACTTCTTCAGAAGAATTTAGAGATGATTTCTGGAAATTACTACCAAAGGAAGACATTCTTGTACCTAATATCTGACTTGACCTTTCAATTTTTAAGTGATTGTAGATCAGCATATGTTTGCGAAAAGTTTTTCAAATCTTAAGTTCTCTCTCACTCTCTCTCTAATTGAAGATCATGTAGGTATTTCATTTGTTCTTACTGTCAATATCTGATCTTACGCCTAGCATGAGAAAATTATTAAAGCATAAACAATGCTAGAAATTACATTGATTGTACCAATTACTTGGACTTTTGTTACATAAAATTTTGTCGTCCTCTTTGGCAGTAGATGGTATTTATTTTATGTTTTTTAGTAAAAAACTGCAAAAGTTCCAAGGTGCAGAAAACAAGAAAAGCTCAAGTAACAAAAATAGGAATCGTTAATGCGTCAATAATTAGTAGTCCGCCAATGATTTTTAAAGCGTCAATTTCGTTCAAATGTTAAAATTGGACAGGCTTGCTCTACAGAAATGAGAAGATTACTTCAAGATAGATAAACAACTCTGATGTCCAAACAGTCTCCAAGATGAAGACGTTAAGATGATAGACTTTTTATTCACGAGTTTGAGAAACACGCAAAACCGACTATAGTTTTACAATCTTAATCCTAGAAGATATCTCTTGGATAAATGCGACGTTTTCTACTTAATATCTTCTGAAAAGCTACAAACTTCCAAAATATCGTAATCAACAAAATATTTTTAAGAGTACGTTATTACAAACTCTTCTTTTCTTAGTTCGTTTGATATCGAATGAATATGTAACTAAATGATCGTATATTTAGTTTATCAGAAGGAAAAGTAATAAACAAAGCATAGAATCATTACTACAACATGTTACACATGTAGAGGTTGTAATTAAGTGTTAATTAGTGAACTTGACGCTTGTAACGCCATCTCCAGTTTGTAACACCTCCCAAAATTACGAAGTTAAAACCAAAACAAACACAACATTATTTACATCTTTAGGTTTTTAATTTTAAGTTTCTTACCTTAAAGGTTTTATAAGAAGATACTACATATGAGGCTCCATCTTCAAGTTCCTCTAATCTAAATTTTCGATCTCCATCCATCGAGAAGATGTATCTTGCTCCTCTTGGAAGGTCCATTCTCAAAGAAAGTTTATCGAGAAGAGCTTCCAGACTTCCGATATCCCTTCCTGGTTTAAATCTAAATTCGACGCCTGGAAAAAAGGGATCTCCATTCTTGTAGAAGACAACCCTGATGGCTCTCCAATAAGATAGATTGCCGTAACGACTCGTGGCAATTTCTACTTTACTTTTGGGCCTCGGTGGCGGTGGTACCATTGAAGATGCATCACTGGCATTGTCGCCCATGACGTTGACAGATGTACCACCGACAGGGCTGGAAGGCCTGGTGGCCGCAGTTTGCCGCCAGAAACCTCCTCCGCTGCCCCCGTTTACTGCGCGAACTGGCGCGCGGTCATCTTCGTAGTCCTCGTCGTCGCTGTCCGGTTTGACGGACTTTGGAGTGGTCTTTCCGACAGTGTCCGAGGCACTGTGGGAGTTCGCAGCTTTGTCGTGACGGGGCGTTGGAGACGCGCTTTTCTCCAAACCATTGCTAACACCAGCGCCCCCGATCACTCCTTGCAACTCGTCCTCGTTCTGGTCAAAATCCTGCATCTGACTGTTGGAATGCGGCGAGGGAGCGGGAAGAGGAAGCTGGAAGAAATATGACTTGCAAAATGAAATAAGATACTGTAAATATCAACTAGGAAATGTCCAAAACGGTGGAATTCTTAAATTATCTTAATCAAAACATGGAGGAGATGTTAAAGTAATTTAAATCCTAATGTTACGATGAGGAAAAACAATATTATCATGAATTAATGAATTAAGCTACCAGTAAAAAAAAAAGAAACTGTTAAAATTTATATAATACATATCTGTTTTACTGTCTTTCGATTGGACCGTTTTATAGAATCAAGCACGAAAATTTCGCAATTTTTCCACTTATGAATTAATTAGTACTTGAAACAAAGATGTTTTGGTCTATTCAAATATTTCAAATTAATGCTTTTTATTGTGGGAATTCCATCATAATATTACATTATCGTCAACGTAAAAATTGTTAAGAAAATAACAAAAGTATCCCCAAAACGAAAAAACATCCTTTCAAGTTATAAAGTTTTTGACATAAAAGGATAATTTCTTTTTGAATAGGATAAAATACTTACTCCTAGCCGTTTTTTCCTAGAGAAGGAATAACTCCTTTGTTTGTACCGTTTACAATTTAATTTTATGTGAATGACTAACCAATGTGAAAATGTTCACCTTTCTTTTTCGAAAGAAATTATGTCAGAATATATTTGAATAACTTGATTCATTGGTCAGTATTATAACTTATAATAAGCACCATTTCGCATATAATGTGGAGTTACACAACATATATATTACACAACCTCTAGTTGAACAAATTTGCAAAAAATATCTTGTGTACATACATACTGACATAAAGTCGGTTTGAAAAAGCACGTGTTCAAATAAACTAAAACAATAAACTCACCATACTTTCAGGTTTTCATAAACAACAGAAATAAATGGGTATCACATTAGTTACAGTCACTGATTCACATTTGTATTAACATTAATCGATAGATTCTACTACGTCGTTTATGAACGATATAGAGCTTCGCCGTGCCTACGAAAATGAACAAATGTGACCTCCAACAAAAGCCACACAGTCCATGGGCGTGAAAATTTGAATTTTCCCGTAGTGCGGCTTCCAAACGGCGACGCCGATGAACTAACTGAACTTGTTGCGTCGTCCTGATAGAGTATTGACTCCTGGGTTTGGCGAACTACAGTCGATATCAGAGCAGTCGCATTGCCATTGGTTGGATGAAGGGGAGAGAAAGATGTCACTGACCAATGAAAATAATGTAAAATTGTTCTGTTTGGGCTGTATCTGACGCGACTCACGACGCTAATAAGCCCCTTGTATTTTCCCAAACAACACCCTTGCAACCACAAACATGTCACCTTATATTCGATTGGCTCGTTTCCGGATAACTTCATCCAGATCCTTATCGGAAGCACAACCCCCGCTTATATATCTACACACTTAGAATTGACTGAAGAAGGGAGCACGCAATTTGATTGAAATGATTATTATTTTACGGGTGTCAGGTTTACATAATGCAACAAACTGATTATCATTAATTTAAACAATCAACCTTGCTTTTATGATCTAATCCTTGGCATTGAAAGAGAAAATCAATTCCCATTTTATCCTTTGCGATTTTAAGGGCCTAAGCATTAAAGACAATTTACTTCTTTTATTAATAACTTATTTATTTTTATTTTTGTTTTTGTAACCCCATGGGACTGTCTATAAAATACGTCACTCCTTCGTCAAGCTAAGTCACACTTTCAGGGATCCCCGTGTCAAAATTACGTCACAAAAGCTATAAACGATTTATTGTAATAAAAAAATCAATAAAAACGACTCTATCGAGAGAATAAGAAATATGTATTAAGAACTGATAACTTAAGAAACAAATTAAAATAAAATTGATGATCTGTGAACGTCACATTTCCTTAGATCTTCCCTAACCCCTTACCATATCTCGTCACGCTAAGTAATATTCTTCGTTCCCCCTTATTTGCGAACGTATTTTATTAAGGGCTCCATGTAAAATACCTGTGTCATTTATTATCACAAAACTTTTTCCTCTTTATCAAAGAAGTAGTAGATCAAAACATTAAGTTTAAACAATAATAAATAATAATGCGAATAATCCTTAAGAAGTATGAAACCAAGAAAGGCCTCCTATACGCAATATACATACATACCTACATAAAATTACAACGAAAATAATTCTCACTAATACCAAGAAGCAATCCTTTTTAAACAAAGAATACAAACAAATCGTTATTGTGTTTGAATGTTTGAATTACGTAATTACAGGGCAAACTACTTACCTGGTAGTTTACCTGGAAAATGGGATATTTTTGAAGAAATTGACACGAAAACGAAGAGGAAAGTCACAAAGAAAACTTTATGTAGGTTAACAAATAAATCACTATACTTGTAACAATGTAATTATGTATAATCAGAGCGGTAGAAATACAAGATGTCTTAATTTTTTGCGATTGAATAGTATTGTGTTCGGCGCTTTCACCATTTTCGTTTCTCAAACTGAATCGGTCATTTCGAAAGTTGCTATATAAACGCTATTTTTAACCAAATCTACGCAGTTGGTTGGCTAGTTGAATAATATTGTATGAAAAAAGGTAATATGGAAGAATAAACCATAATTTACTTTTTACCTAAAAACTTCGTGATTTTACGTAGCACACCTCACATGAACATGAAACAGCAAGTCACGAATTAAGCGTTTATGACACGCACACAAAGTGTGTTAACTCCGTATTTTAATAAGAAAGAAATTAACGGACGTACAATTATTTATTTTTGTTTCTTTAGATAAGAAGCCTAGGAAATTATCAATGAAGGGTTAAAAAGCTGGAAATATAAATACGAGCCCTGCCTCATTGTAATGGAAAATTTATTAAAATTAATGCAATTTTGCTACAAAACTACAAATAAACTTTTTTAATTTATGTAAAGCCATCTGGATTAGTGTTCATTGGGCATTTATAAATTTAAATACAATTGTTGATTGATGCGGGTGATTTTCCTAAGGAACACTTAACCCTCTTCGGTAAAAATTAATTTAACGAAGTCGATATTTTTGAATACAACGGCTAAAAATTTTCTATCTGTGGTCTTCGGGAAATGATAGAACGAACAATAATAGTTCATATGAGTTTTAGCTTCTTAATTGAATAAAAATACACTTAAAGTAACACCAAAAAATAACATAATTGATAAACGATATGATTAATTAGATTATGAACAACAACTACTGATTAACTATTAAAACAATACTAGAAAGACTAATTCGATACTGTTACTGATTGATTACTGATTATTGATGAACTGACGAACTCTTGATTAAATTTTTTTTTGTTTAGTTTTTCCTCGAGGAGGGGAAATCTTCAAAAGACACCCCCTCGTGGAGAGCTCGATAGCATTGGTGATCTTGTTTGAAAGGAGATTGACAGCTTTGTCGAATTCCGCTATTGTGCGAATTAAGGTGCACTTAAAGGACGATTTTGTAGCGGAGACGTCTAGCGAAGTTGTAAGGTTTGGGGGGTTGGGGGTTAGGCGGCCGACTACTATTAGAGCTGGAAGGTGGTCGGAGCTTAGACCGTCGAGAACGGTTGGATAGACAGAAAGAGTGATATTTTTTAAGGCGAAGAAATCAAGAATGTCAGGAATTTGATTGTGGGGGGCGGAGAGGTCCGTAGGATCTGGGGGCGCTTCAACGACCATGTTGAGGTCGACGACTTTTGCAAGAAGGGAAATACCTTTTTTGTTAGTGTGTCGGCAGCCCCAGGAGGCGTGTTTGGTATAAAGATCGTATGTGACGATCGTCGAGACGTTCGGGGAGAGGAGGAGGGAGAAATCAAAAATATATAGTTCAGATGGGGGGAAGTAAAGGGAAATGATTCTGAGGGGGCCGGAAGTTACCGAGACTTCAATGTCAACCCTTCTCATGAATTAGTGGCTAAAGAGATGGGATTGTGTTTTAAAGAGTTCCTGACGAGGATAGCTACTCCACTGCCTCGGAAGTTTTCACAGACCCTTCTATAGGATTTGAAGTTAATGTTTTGAACATTCCAGGTAATTACTCGAAGATTATTTGGGTGGGTGTTTTTATCCATGTGTAGATGTTTGGAGGGCGGCAAATGTGCTGGCTATCATCGTTCGCACAATAACCTGGCGTTTCTGTTCCAGAGGGGAAGCAACTGGTGCAGAAGAGATGCTTGGGGTTGCGTTGGACTTTTAGATGGGAGTGGAGGGAGGGCTTCTTTAACTACCCTGGCTGAAGACTTTTGGGGGAACGTCGTTACGGGAGCGGCTAATGGAGGGGTGATTGTCTGGACGGTTTTTGGAGCGGTCGGAGTAGGGGAGGGTTTTTTAGGTGGTACGGTTTTCTTAGGTACCTTGGGACAACTACGATAAGTGGCGCTGTGGTTCCTTTTGCAGTTAGCACAGGAGAAGGAGCAGGCCTAGGCAGTATGGCTGTAATTGGCCGTCTTGATTGAATAGATAGAAAATGCTTAAATATAACAATAAAATATAGGGGGTGGAGGTACGTTAGTGGAGTGTTTTTGGTTTTAGGCTATGGTTAGTGACTACGTAACTACAATCACAAAATTGTGTGTATATGGGAAGACCATCGCCCCATTTGGTGACCAACGCGAATGGGGTAAAACCTGCCGGGGAAAAACCTACATACTATTACGATAAAGTTCCTTTGTTGTAGGAATATTATTCTAATTCTAACAAAAATGTTTTCTTTGTACAAAAAGGAGTATCATGAATTGCACAACAAAAACAATGTAAGCATATTACAGAATTTAGGCGCGGGGTCCGTAGCATTTACTAACTCTTACGATGTAGCTAATCCGACGTTGAACTGATGTTTCAATGAAAAATTTTGATCCATCTTACTTGTAATAAAGCCACAAGGTATTTTTTGTTATATTACTTTCAATTTAGTAAGTGCAAATAAGATTTGAAATAATACTCGAAATGACCACTGGTCAACCACTTAAAGAAATTGGGTAATTAAAAAATAATAATCTAATCATATTTAATCGGTTAAATAAAAAAAAATAAAAATTGTTGAATGTAGGTATTGTTTCTATGCATCGTTTTTCTCGCATGATTCTATGGAAGCATTGAAGTGACGCCATAATTAATTTATCCCATGTTTTCGCTGTTTTTAAAGATATTCAAATTTCGTCTTTACGGATCGATGTATAACGTTGTAGAGAAGGGGTGACCAAGCTGCGGCCTACGGGCCTGATGCGGCTCGCCTTGAACATTTCTTCGACCCGCGAGATTCATCATAGTAGGGATATAAGTCACTTCTATGCTCGCGAACGATTAATTTAAAAATTCGAAATAGATTAAAGTGGTATGTTAGGAGCGCGGCGCTGTACGGGTGCGAAATATAGACGGTGGGCACTGCAGAAAAGAAAAGATAAGAAGCGTTCGAAATGTGGTGTTACAGGCAAATGACGATAGAGTGGATAGAGATGGTTAGAAATAAAGAGGTATTAGAAAGAATACCAGAACAGAGGACAGAAATAGGCTAGTAGGACACCCTCTCAGGCATGAAGGTCTAGTATTAGAAGCAGAAACGGGAGATAGGAAGGGTAGAGGTAGACCAAGGTTATATTACTGTTCGCAAATAGTTAAGGATGGGGGTTGTTTTAGTTTTAGGAAAATGCGGAGATTGGCTCAGGATAGGAAAGAGTGGAGGTGCGTGTCCAACCAGACTGACGATCTTATGATGATGAATGATCAATGTAGTGAAAACCAATGTATTGAAAAGTACATTATTTTGCATCCATATATTCAAAAATTAACTGTTAAAATTATAAGAAAAATTAATTCTGATTTTAAAAGAATATTCTTGTGAAATATATATGACAAATATTGCCTGTCTTATTACTGAGTTTACAGTTGTGAGTTCAAAAAGATGTCTACTGTGAGTCTAAGTCTAATATGGAGATATATAATTGCAAATGTCACCCACGGAGTCATGGTCCCCTAAGATCAGTTGGGTT